CCTCCAAGATACAACAACAAACATTTATTCACACTGAGAATATATAATAGATTAACAAGAAATACGTGAAATAGGTATTACACCTTTAGTACGCTCAAATTGCATTGTTTCCTTTTGTGTCTATTTGACTATCACACTCACATTTTGTACGGTATCAATATTCAGAATATTTTGTTGTATTTTTTTTTAATAAAATCATTACTATTATATTTGACTATTTGAACCTAGTGTCATCTTTACAAACACTACATGTAACACACACACACGTGTTGACAAATCGCTGATAAATGTCTGTACAAGTAACAAAGAGCAATAAGGGGCGATCCATTAGACTTTTGAGGGGTTGATGGAAGATTTTGAAAAACAAAATTTCCTGCACGGCCCGAAAGGCCGAAAAAAAATTCCTGCAAGGTAAAATTTTGAAAAATCTCCACTAAAGCTTTTGTAAATTTACAGAAGATATTGCAAGCGCGCGCAACTAGATCTCTCATCCCCTCTCAAACGTCTAATGGATCGCCCCTAACTTCAGGGTTATCTTACTGTGCTACTCATGCATTAGAATCCACTAGTACGCATTTTCATTTCAGATTTCTTTAAACTGTTAAAATTGTTATGAATATGTACCCAATACATTCCTTTCTCCGAAACCTTGTTTCCAAGGTACTTTCCATTCAGATTGGATTTAGCACATCTATTATACCACCAGGCACCAATGAAATATGAAGCACAGTTCTGACTCCACTTGTCGTTTTTTCTGTCTTTTGTACTAAACGCCATGTTGTAATGATATGATAACGAGTCCCCAGCAGTACCTGAATACGAGCCAACCCTCAGCCTGTACTTGTCTGATTCATCACCAACACTAAAACTACCATATTTGGCATACTTCCTAGTTGCATCCCAGTCCTCTAACTCAATGCGCAGTCTCGACACTGTTCTTGTTGTAAGTCGATGGATGTAATCGTTGCCCAACCAAAACTCGCTATTCAGGTTTCCAAAACCTGTTTTGTATTGCTGCCAATTCCGATAGAAATCAACCGATCCATCTTGTCTTCTTTGGAACACAGTCCAACCCCCACCGTCAGTTGTCATGTCACAGTAGACTTGAAATGCAGGCTGACTGTCGGGTTGAACTGTGTACACACCGTTACGTCTCTCTCCTGATTTGTAAAGCTCAGCGCAATCTTTGAAATGTACAGTCAAAGTCGTACTCAAATGTGAATCAAAAACACCTGCACTCGTAGCAGTGCACTCATACACACCCGAATCAGTTTTCTTGACGTTCCTAATAATCAAAGAGCCATCTCTCACTTTAAACCTGTTATCAGGAAGAAGACCGTTGTCTTTTTTCCAACTGCTGACAGGATGAGGGTCACCTTTAGCCGTACAGTTCAACACTACGGTTGCTCCTCTATGTGTTGTATACGACGTCGGAGGCTTGACAACAAACACAGGCAGATCGACTACAATAACCACAATAGATCCTACAACAGAACCAAGAAGATTTTCAGCTTTGCAAACATATGTCCCTGAATCATCTCTCTTCGCTTTTAGTATAGTCAGCTGTCTATCTTTGATAGAAGAACGACCGTTAGGCAAAGATCCGATAGACTTAAACCACGTGACTTTGGGTTCAGGGAATCCATTCACGTGACAAGTAGGTAGATGAATGTCATCACCAATCTTTCTGTAGATTGGTCCTTTGTGCAAGGTCAGTCGAGGACCGAAGTTCACTTGGACTTCCGCTGTTGTTTGTGTGTTTCCAAGAAGATTAGAAGCCTTACACTGATAGATTCCTGAGTCATTGAGAGTCACGTGTTTGATATCAAGTTTACCAGTGCTATCAACTACTGCTCGTTTGTGTGGTAATGTACCGTTGTTTTTACTCCATACAACATCAGGTCGCGGATAACCACTAGACGAACAATGTAAGATGGCGGACTGGCTTTCATTGACGGTGAGATGTGTTGGAGAAATGAGTACTATTGGACGTGCTAAGGAGGGACCACGATCTCCCTGTGGTCCCTTTGGTCCAGGCACTCCTCTAGGACCAGGAAGTCCGATCTTTCCAGGAAAACCACGTGGTCCTCGTTTCCCTSGACGTCCAGTTTTACCCATGCGTCCACGTGGTCCTCTTGGACCGGATTTTCCTTGTGGACCGGGAGGTCCTGCAATAGGAATCCAGTATTTGGCAGATTGTAAATTGGCTATTGCTTTACCGATCTTTTGGTCAATTTTCTTTGATAACAAGTCGTCAGTCATMACCTTAATTGTTCTGTTAACTCGAATTGTAGCATGTCGTACTTTTCTTTGTAGAATTTCCTTATTTGGCTTTGTTTTTTCTGTATGTAATGTTCGTTTTGAAGGATGATGTTTATCGAGTCGATTCACGCCATCGTTCATGTCGTGTTTTRAAGTCATCTTGTCTGGCAGCTTGATGTCTCTTGAATGCAGCTCGTTTAGCATAAATTCTGTTCTTATAAACACACCACAGCACAACAACAAACTGACCACCGATAGACTGATAGCAATCTTTGACACAAAGCAGGAATGGCTGATTTTATCTGTCATATTTTAGCAAATAGAACARCATAGAAGCAAACAGGAAGACTGAAGCAGTAAAAATGACCCAGTGTCACTATTTGGCAGTCATATCATACTTCAATGCGTGTCTCGGCATGCTATATTATTCTTTAATACAAAAATAACTGACATGGATTTCACGTGATGCGCGTGCTATAAACTATTACTTTGATATGTTTTTTTTGAGGGGGAGGGAGTACTCGACCCCATTTTGGACCCTGTTTTTAAAAGATACTAGAAACTGTAAGACGTTTTATATGACGTTTTTGATAACACGTTAATCCYGTTACAGTGAARCGGTATTTCTACTATTTCTACGGTTTTTTCTTATGAAAATATTACCCTATCCAAGACACAAAAAAATTATATCGGTCTTTATTTAAATTGTAGAGCCTGTTTAAGACAATTTCGGGTGAAATGTATACCCTGTTTAAGACAGCAAGGCCAAAAACCATACCCTGACSAGCGGCACGTCCCCGTATAGCAAATATATGGGAGTACCTCCCCCGGCTATGGTTTCCATGTCTAGTGTTATCATTTCCAGAGAGGGGAGGGATTGAATATCTATTTCACGTTTTGTTTTTACTTAATTCGAAAGGGTGTGTTTTATTARCTTACAGCTTGACAAACACTAAAATAATACACACTGACTAAATTATGGAAATGCCTTTGTTTTCTATCTTTCTTCCCACGAATTAAGTACTACTATTTGCCATGTTTTTATCAGATATCAACGAGTCTCCAGCAGCCAGTACCTGAATACGAGGCAATAATCAAACTTTTGTATAGTTTGGCTGCTATACCCCTATTTGACGTTGCTATATAACTTCAACGTAACGTGGAGATGCCCAACGTCACCAAATAATTTAATGATTGTGTCATTTCCCATTCACAAAACTCCTTTTAAAACAATTTAGCAATTTTCAAAGTATCAAGTGACAGATTATTTCTGAGCGACTGCCTAATCCTAAGGCCGTAAAAAARGGYTTTATCCTATCTTTTAAAGAGCTATTGAATGAAAATTGCCAAACATTGGAAAATACTTGAAATTCGTTAAGACCTGTCTCTATAGATCACATAGTTTTGAAACAACCAGGGACGTGGGAAGAGATTCTCTTCCCACGTCCCTGAACCAACATACTGTAATACGCTATTGGTACAAATTCTTAAGAATTTAGTAAAAAAAAAAGGAATTAAAGTAAATGCATATGACATCATTTACTCCATCCTTTCTTGTTCTTTTATATTAAGAGCAAAAATGTCTTTGCTACGGGATGACTCCAAAACCAACGTTTTCCCAGAAGTTGTTTTAATAGGTAATAAATTGCTATATCGACAGGAATAACCTCCTCCTTACTATATAACTTTTATTATTTCTAGTACATGTATTTCCTGTGCCACCCTATCCACATATTAATCATATAAATGAGTCGTGTTTGTATTGAATTCTAAACTTAGGGCGTTTGTAAAATGCAAGTATGGCTTTAAACCCGACTCGTACATCCTTTCATAAATATTTCTTCAATTGCGTGACATGTAAATCTGAAAAGTTATTTGACGATGATTTCATCTCGAAAGTGAAAGTATGATGTGACTGATCAGTCAAGCAAGAAGGGAAACAAGAATCGACGAATACAAGATGAATTCCTGTTTGGTTTTTGGTTTTCTATCATTGAGTGTAAGTGTTTCTGTGTCTTTTTCATGCGATCCTGTTCCATTGATCAAAAGGAATGAGGGATATATGTCTTGCATATACTTGGACATCAAGACAATAGGATATGGCTACAACATGCAGAATAAAGACGCTCCTGAGGTTTTCAAGAATATAGGAGCTGACTTCAATCGGTTTTACAACGGTCCKTTGACTAAAGCAGGCTCGAAATGCAATTGTTCGTCTGTTCCTTGCCTCAAMGATAACCAAATAGACGCACTGTTAGAGATCAGTGTCAAGGTTGCTGTAGCAGATGCGGAATCAGTGATCAAGACGTTTTGCTAGCCTTTGCTGTTCTGTTCAAAATGTAATGGTGGACATGGCATATACTTTGGGAGGAACAAGCTTTCGACAGTTTACCACATTTGCAGGTCTTATTAACCGTCAGCATTGGAAGATGGCGGGTGATGACTTGACATGCTCCAAATGGTGTAATGCGCCAAAACAGGACAACAAAAGATGTCATCGAGATGCAGCCGTAGTTGCCCAAGGCTGTTCTTGCTCAGGGACCTATCCTCAGACTTGTGATCCAACGCATTCAAGCTGCTGTGGTTCCCAAGAGACGTGTTGTAAAGGTATGGAACGTGTCCCAAGAAAGGTTTTTGCAGCCTCAATTTGATTTTTTTTCAGAAACAGACTTTCTTCTTGAATAATCATTTTAAAAATTTACATGTTGAAATAATTTAAAAATTATTTCATTGTATATATTAGTATTGAAGTTAATTTTTATAAGTATTACTATGTAACGCATTCACTCGAATAGACACCGCGGCGTTTGTTTCATTTTTCACGATCCAGATGCGGTGTTTATTCGAGGGCGGCGTCTATTCGGGGGCGGCGTTTATTAAAACAACGTTTTATTCAGTACTACATACCATACTTTATATTGTATCTTTTTACTTACAAACAGTAACGAATCTCAATATATAAATGTCGTGTTCATTTTGTTTATTCAATTTATGATTTTAATTAGAGTTAAACTTCTATTTCAACATCAATGTCCTTCTCGTGTTTGGAATCTAACAGCTGCTGAGATCAAACAAATACATTCACTTCGAAATAAAAAAATGTTCTAAAAGAAATAAATTCCCATTTCTGGTATCATTATTTCCTCAAATTCACGCCGCATCCAGATGCGGCGTCTATTCGGGGACGGCGTCTATTAATATTTTGAGCTTTAAGTGCGGCGTTTATTTGAGGGCGGCGTCTATTCGGGGACGGCGTCTATTCGGGGACGGCGTCTATTAATATTTTGAGCTTTAAGTGCGGCGTCTATTTGAGGGCGGCGTCTATTCGGGGACGGCGTTTATTCGAGTAAATACGGTAGTGTTACAGTTTTTAACAAGTTTTATTGTAATCTTTCATTAAAGCGCATATGAACTTGTGGATACTCGCGCTGTATGAATCTTTCATTATTATTATTCTCACATGGGCGTATTGCGTTTTTTTTCATGCTTTCGATAGTTTTTGATGTTTTCTTTCACTTTTCAGGTGTCTTTACCTACAAAAGTTACATAACCAAGACATTCGATGAGGTTGCGTGCTGTCCATTCCCCAAAGCCACTTGCTGTACACATAACAGATGTTGTCGTAATGGTGGCATTTGCTGTCCACCAGCTCCTGCAGAACCAACATTCTGTTGCCCAACAAATTACCCACACTGCGCTGCAGGACGCATGTGTGCACGTGACAGATCACGTGACAGTCCTATGATGAAAGGTACAAAGACGTATGAAACGAAATAACTGTTTCTAAATAGTGGAACCAACAGTCAGCTGACTCAGTTTGAATTCAATGCTCTTTGATAATCATAGCTCAAAAATAAATAAATTTTACCCGGGAAATCCCATGTATCGAAAGGCAGGGATTACCGTTGTATTCGTTTAGGTTTAAAAATTAGAAAAGTTTTTTTTGACCACCACTCAATGCTTTGCTCAAATCTTTCAAGCAAAAGACTTTTAATGTTGATGTCTTTAGAACGATTAAAATCGTATTAAGTATAGATTTGCACATTTTATCTGGTATATTTAGGGGTAAAAATCTTATAGTGCCACGCCCTTTCCCCCCCAGTGAATCCGAGGTAGCACTGAAAAAAATATGAGGAGAAATCCTGGGAGAAATCTGAACTCTACCATTTACCGAAATTACTATTACTACTAAATAAGACAAACAAATATTTTATTCATACAATAAATGAGATATGAAATATGTCTGTCGAGGTACAGACGTATTGGCTCCTAATGGTCTTGGCCATCCATCATTTTCGCGGCCATCGTAAAATAACCACTGGCCTTTGTACCGGAAAATACAGACGTAATGTTGTTCTTCTTTGCTAATGAGAGTAATTGATCGCAATTTGTACCTGAAACAAATTAAAATTACAAACTTCAAATTGTTTGCTTTATGATTTTTCATTTCATTGTCGTATTTTTGCAACATGCATGATAATACAGTTTTGTCAAATTCATAATCGCACGTCTTTGGTGTTTACTTACGTTCTTCCTAAAATCTCTAGATGCGGAGGTACTTTGTTCATGGTCAGTATCTCATCCATTTCAGCCATAAGCTCTGTATCCACTGGTATGAGGACTGGATGTGACGAGCCTCCGTCAAAGGTTCGCTGGTGCAATTGTCTCTGCCCGCTACAGTACTGAGCGCCAATGTCTCTGCAATTTTATCACATTGATGTGACTTTATATAAAAASCCAATRTATACAAGAGTTAACAAACTGAAACCAAAATTGGAGCTCAACCAAGATGATTTTAAAATTGTCGGTTATTTTTTTCACTGTAGTAAACAATCTTAATTGATTCGACATTTTTTTAGTTTCTCTGTGTTTTCAGTGTCGGCTCCGTGTACATGAAACTGAACAACTAATCGATGCGCGACCGTTTTTTAAGTAATGGAATGGTTCACGTTTCACAGCATAACGTTTGGGGTTTCTCAGCCAAAAATAATCCCGATCATTCATTATATGTGATTACCTTTCATAACATTTCGTCGTTTCCTTTTCTTGCATCCAAGATAGAACTGTTTCTTGTAAAGAAATATTAGGATCCATCCATGTCGGGCAGGCATTGCTAACAATCATCCTGTCTCGTTTAGGACAGTCGGGTAATGAACACCTCGAAAGCTGTTTGCTTCCATAAAGTACATTAAAATGTCTGATGAACAACACGTATTCGTTATTCCAAAAGTTGATTCGATTAAATTGTGGCTGGAGGGAATTCAGCTTCATGACAATCAT